TCTGTCTGTCTGTATCTATCTTTGATGTTACACTTCATCCCTTCGTCTGTCTGTCTCTGTCTGTATCTATCTTTGATGTTACACTTCATCCCTTCGTCTGTCTGTCTCTGTCTGTATCTATCTTTGATGTTACACTTCATCCCTTCGTCTGTCTGTCTCTGTCTATATCTATCTTTGATGTTACACTTCATCCCTTCGTCTGTCTGTCTGTATCTATCTTTGATGTTACCCTCCATCTATCTGTCTGTCTATCTGTCTGTCTGTATCTTTGATACACTTCATCCCTTCATGTATCTATCTGTCTGTATCTATCTTTGATGTTACACTTCATCCCTTCATCTATCTGTCTGTCTGTCTCCGTCTGTATATATCTTTGATGTTACACTTCATCCCTTTTTCTGTCTGTCTCTATCTTTGATGTTACACTTCATACCTTCGTCTTTCTGTCTGTATCTATCTTTGATGTTACACTTCATCCCTTCATCTATCTGTCTGTCTGTCTGTCTGTCTTTGATGTTACAGTTCATCCCTTTATCTATCTGTCTGTCTGTCTGTCTGTCTGTCTGTCTGTCTGTCTATATTTGATGTTACACTTCATCCCTTCATCTATCTGTCTGTCTGTCCCTTCATCTATCTATCTGTCTGTCTGTCTGTCTGTCTGTCTGTCTGTCTGTCTATATCTATCTTTGATGTTACAGTTCATCCCTTCATCTGTCTGTCTTTCTGTATCTATCTTTGATGTTAGTTCATCCCTTTATCTATCTGTCTGTCTGTCTGTCTGTCTGTCTGTCTGTCTATATTTGATGTCTGTCTGTCTGTCTGTCTGTCTATATTTGATGTTACACTTCATCCTTTCATCTATCTATCTGTCTGTCTGTCTGTCTGTCTCTGTCTGTATATCTGTCTGTCTGTCTGTCTATTTTTGATGTTACACTTCATCTATCTGTCTGTCTGTCTGTATCTATCTTTGATGTTACACTTCATCTATCTATCTGTCTGTCTGTCATTTGCACTTCTGCACACTAAAAAAGCATCTCAAGGCTGAGCAGTTTCTCCACGATCGAAGAAGTTTTAAAAACTTGACAACACCCCCTTTTAGCCCGATAACCTCACAGTAATGCATGTGCTCTTGAGGCATTTGTCTTTATTCTAGATGTATTATGAAGTACTGATTGAAATATTATGTCCTGAGAAGTGTTTCTTCCCTCCTGGTCTTGTTTCATTTTGCTGTGTGTTATTTTCAGGGTGATCTGAAGCAATACTTGCGAGTGTCCAAGAGCAAAGATGAGAAAGTCAAAGTCCAGCCGCTCAGCACCAAGCAGAAGGTAGTTAATAACGGTCTCCAGTCTCTCTGATATACAGTACATGTACATAAACACACATCAGTCAGAGCGCACTCACTCTCTGCCGTCTGCTCGCAGGTATCGGTGTGTCTGCAGGTGGCTCGAGGGATGGAGCACCTGTCAAACCAGCGCTTCGTCCACAAAGACCTGGCTGCACGAAACTGCCTGATCTCCTCCAAACGACAGATCAAAGTGTCTGCTCTGGGCCTTAGCAAAGACGTCTACAACAGGTACATTCTACAACGTTTGCCTTTTATTAAATTCACTAACAAGTCCTAATCCACGTTTAGAGGAATTAGATTTCTAAAATGAGGAATGAAAGAACGTCCATTGAAGTCATCTTTTCCAATGCAAACGTTTCCTGTATTGATTGTTCCCAGGCTTGTGAATGCTCTCCTTGTATTATCACATACACTGCTTCCCCCCTGTGGTGACAAAGTCGTCATGGTTTCTTTTCTGTGTTTGTGTAGCGAGTACTACCATTATCGCCAGTCCTGGATTCCTCTGCGTTGGCTCCCATCTGAAGCCGTCTTTGAGGACGATTTCTCCACCAAGACGGACGTGTGGTCATTTGGGGTGCTCATGTGGGAGGTCTTCAGCTTTGGGGAGCTGCCTTACGCCGAGCTCACGGATGACAAAGTTCTAGAAGGTGCACCTCACAAAAAAAGTCAAGTGGGTTGTATATTGACTGACGGTTGTGATTTGTCTCTAATTCTCTTTATCTGTGTCTCTACAGCTCTGCAGGAAGGGAAGCTGAAGTTGTCTCCTCCTCAGGGGTGTCCGTCTCGGGTCTTCAAGCTGATGGTGCGCTGCTGGGCCGCCAGCCCCAAAGACAGACTGTCTTTCAGCAACATCTCCGCCGCACTCAGCGATCTGCCCTCTGAAAGTAAAGTGTGAGAGAACTGGATCGTCCTGCAAGCCATGGCTCAAAACCCTAAATGTTCAGATTCAAGTGTCTTGCCTCAAGAACAAAAGGACTTGGAATTTGTTATATTTTCCACCATTTCTTCCTTATATGTATATGTATGTGTGTGTGTGTTTTAAAATGTTTTAGAAGGTTCCTCAAACATTTGGTTCTTAATGGTGTTTGTACAAAAGCTGCCCTATCACTTCTCAGTTTGAGTTTGCCCACTCAAAACGATGAAATGTAGTAAAATATAGTGCGTTTGTAATAGCAAACCATGCACTGACCAATTTTATATTTTAGAAGGATTGTCTCGGGAGCCTCTTAATTTATTTAAAAGGTCCTGTTTGTTCAATGTACAGAGAGGTACTGTTTATATGACTTTTTTATGTTTATGACCTTTTTATATAATTCAGAAGTACTCATAGAAACAGACTGTTGAGAAAACTGTTTATAAGACGAATACATTTCAAATTTCAAGTGCCTGTAAAATGAAGGATGTCTTGATTTTAGTACGCTGTATGTTACGACTTGGAAAGCCTTGAATGTTTTTTTTTTTTTATATATATATACATTTATAGTGTTTTATTGGTTGGTTAGTAAAGAGTTCAGTGTTTTATCTTGTAATTGCTACCCACACGTTACATATCGGTTTCTATAAAAATTCAGAGGTATTCTTGACTCTGCTGTTGCAATAAAATTTCACTTTTTAACAAAGCTTGTTTGATTTCATGTTCTGTAAACGTAAATAACCAAATGTAGCAAAAGTAAGTTACTTTATAAGCTTGTCAGTTCTACAGAAGCTCATAGGCCATGGCTGCACCTGACGTTTTCCATCAGGACAGAAGATGACTCTGATGGTTGTAGAGTGTGCAGTTATCACAGAAACAGCTTGCAGCTGAATGAAGTGGTGAGGGCTGGAGATTCCTATTCTCTGAAGGAAATGGAGACCCTGCTGAGCTTTCTATCATTTCCACTGAAGAAAAGGTGGTTCTGGACCTTCAGCTTTGGTGGAAGGCTTGAGGAGCAGTCTTTTAGTCGGTGATGGCCATTTTTGGGTGAATTATCCTTTTAAAGTGTCTTCTTTACATGCTTGATCTGCTTACAAGTCTTGATTTAGTCCTTAAAAACCTACAGGGGTTGGACAAAATAATGTGAAGACCTGGGAAACAGGCAATGTTTCTTCACCTTTGCCTTTAATACAGCTTCCCACCTTCTTAGAATACGTTCGTCCATCTTTTGAATAGGCTCCAGCTGAATTAACATCTGTCAGTGGCTGAAGGAGGGAATCGGCTTCTCACTCTTCTCTCCAAAACTGTGTCCAGTGGTTTGATGACGCTCAGCTCAGATGCTGAAGTCCGTCTTGGTGCTCCAACTGTCCAGGCTTTATGATCTTGACTCCCTCTTTTTCACATTTTAGCATTGGTTTCTGTGATTAAAGGTTCAGCAAGTGCAGCTTATTCATGCATGTTGGCTTTGTGAAGTTCTCCATGATCAGTTTTTGTGGAGACAGGGTCAAATTCTGCTGTCACTTTGCTGCAGTAGTTCCGTGTTTGGACACGAAACTGTCACGTTTAGGTTTTTGTGCACTGTTCTTCTTCGCTGATGAAGTCTTGCATGCATTGTGTATGCAGTCATAATCCGGAAGACTATTGTTCTTCAAACACTAAACAATTGGGCTTTTAAGGTTACAGATGCTCCTGCTAAATGGGCTCCAATGATTTGCTCTTTTTGAAAGTCACAAACAAGTCACTCATTTCACCGAGCGCTTGTACTAAACACTGCTGAACACAACTTATACTGATATACAACCTAGAGAATACAGACGATGAAAATAATAATAATAATTGCATTGTAGTCTACACAAATTATATGAACCCCTATAGGCCTAATAGTGGGTGTTCACATTATTTAGTCATTTTGTCCAACCCCTGTATTTCTGCAGTGCATGGTATACGTACATAAAATTGTTAAAGTTTAAATATAGTATAGTAGATGTTTTGCCTTTTTCTTGTTGTTTTGTCTGTTTTTTATTATTTTAATTTGTTATAAGGCAGAAACAGTAAGAGTAGTATACTAGTATATTTTCAATGCTAGAATTGTGCTGCACACCTCCAGAACTCAGATGCTGGCTCCCTCTAGCGGTGTGGAGGATGATTATGAGGACATCTGTGAGAGGTTATTATCTATTAATTATATTCCCGACACACAATTTAAATGAAACATTTAGGTAAAGACATTTAGGCTTTAATTTTTGTGCTAAATCCAAAAAAATGACCCTGAAGATTTTAGTACTGTTTTATATCCATTAGGTGGTGATGTAGGTCAGATGTGGAGGCATATTATTTTAAGAGCCAGTGGTAAACATTTGAACAGTGTAGGTTTATGCACTTTCCCCAAACACTGCACGGTCTCAAACTAAAGCACTGATTGAGCTTATGCACGGGTTAAAACTAACGGATTGATTATTTTGCGACAGAAGCACTGAGTTCTATCATCGTCCTCCCCCTCTGTGTGTGTTTCTATCAGGGTGGATCAATGCAGGAGCCTGGGCTCCACACACACACGCACGCACGCGCTCGCCCTGTCCGCGCATCCGCAGCGTCGCGTCGCTCTGTCTCTCTCTCGCTCGCGGCTGACGCGGGCCGCTCCTGGATGTGTGCATGTTATAGTCCAGAAAGCCGCCGCCGCGGTGCAGGTTGAAGGCCCGGAGACATGCCGGTGTGACGGGGGTCGGACATTCCTATCTTCCGCGCTATCTTCGCTAAGCCCGGCTCCGCGGCTCTGCTGTACCGAGCGGCCTGTAAACACAAGATGTTGACCCGAACACCATTGCCCACCGTCAACGAGCGCGACGCCGAGAATGTAAGTCAATGAAACACTGTATCGGTGCGCATGAATATTCATGATTATAATGCGTTTGTTCTCGTTCGCGTCCTTGTGGTTTCGTTAAGGCGTTTAATGAGCCGGACTGGTTGAACACATACTCGTTCTGTCTTCTGGAGGTTTGATAATGGTGTCCAGTGTTGAATTTAAGCCATTACAGTTATGTTAGTTTGTATAAGTATATAGATTCCTATCCTGTGTTAAGCAATGCAACACACTGATGATCATCATCATATCAGATTGAAGCTGTCCCACCTCATGCTTCAGCGTCCCGGCACCAATTTCCACACTGTTTACACGTAACTGCATTGTAATCAATGTATAATAAGCTCAGTATCCCTGTTGAAAAAAACCAGCATATGCTGGTTAGTTATGTTTTGAAGCTGGGATGCTGGTACATACCTAACCAGCATATGCTGTTTTTTTCAACAGGGTAGGCCTACTTTAGAGTTCACTAAATGGGGTTTTCAGTGAGAGACTGCTGATATCGCTAATGCAAATGAATGACAGCAAATACTGGGACATGAAAACAGAAATTGTTTATCATCCACTGACACTGAAGTTAAAGAAATGCTTTAGCCCGGATCATGTCAGACTGTGTCCTTACCAGGTTTCTAGAGATTTGGAGTTTAGTGTGAATTTGGACCAATCAGATTTGGCCGTGAGAAATGTGCTGTTGCTTTGCTCCGCTGTTTAGGACAAGCTGAGAAGGAAGAGTTTTGATTGCTTTATCACTTCTGGTTTGGACAGAATATGCTGTTTTTTTCTGTGAAACGATGAAAATTTATGCACGGCATGTATTTGTGCTAGGCCTGGGCAATAAAACGGTATCGATATTTATCGACGGTAGGGCTGCATGATTAATCGAATGCGATTGAAACCGTATATTGCCGTAGTCGTGTGTTTATTAGTCACGTTGAATCAATGAAAGCAGTTGAATCTTCTGTTTATTCAGCTGCAGCAATAGGCATTTTCTGGGTTTCTTCTGCGAGGCATATTTGGAGTTTCAGCGTGAGAGCGCCCTCTGGCCTTTGGATGGAGATTTACTGCTGATCACAGAACCGTGCTTCACTGAAAGATATGCATGACAATCGCAGCTTCTGTCGAATCACGATCTCGATTCCATTTCGATTTATCATGCAGCCCTAATCGACGGTACACCTTCATCGATAACGATGAAGAAAAATGTTCGATATAGCGCACGATATAGGCGCGTGAGTGACGCAGACAGCTCACACAAACACGAACACATGCTGAATTGAGTGCTGTGCCTTCCTGTGATGAGGAGATTGTGAATAAAGAATGAATATTAGTCGAATTTAAAATAAACATTTGCATTTGTTGATATTTGTTTACATTTTTATTTTGTGTTTGACTGTAAAAAAAAAAAAATATATATATATATCTTTGTTGTTTGTCTTAATAAAGTGGGCAAATTAAAAATGTTAAGCCCGTCTGCCATATTTCTGCATTAGTTAGGACATGGAGTTTTGCTTTTTTATTCTGTGAAACACAAAAGGAGAATCTTTACACAGCTCTTTCCCATAGTTCTTGCTCTGGTGTGCTCCCAAAAGGACAAAGCAGTCACCATAAAAGTGCGCTTTATGCCCAGTCGTCAAAAGCCATTCCAAAATTTAAGTTGTAATTCGCTGAAAATTTTCCCCATTTCAAAACTAGGTATTTCATGCTTTCATTCAGATATAAAAAATGCTATTGGACAATGAAATGTGACCCTGGAGCACAAAACCAGTCATAAGGGTCCATTTTTGGAATGTATGGTTTGTTAGGATAGGATAATATTTGGCTGAGATACAGCTATTTGAAAATCTGGAATCTGAGGGTGCAAAAAAATCTAAATACTGAGAAAATTGCCTTTAAAGTTGTCCAAATGAAGTTCTTAGCAATGGATATTACTAATAAAAAATTAAGTTTTGATATATTTACGGTAGGAAATTTACAAAATATCTTCATGGAACATGATCTTTACTTAATATCCTAATGATTTTTGGCATAAAATAAAAATCTATAATTTTGACCCATACAATGTATTTTTGGCTATTGCTACAAATATACCCCAGCGACTTAAGACTGGTTTTGTGCTCCAGGGTCACATATAAGTGTGATTTGAAGGTATGAGGAAATGCAGTGAGATTTTGGGATCTTTGCATTTTGTAGATTCACAAAAAAACTTGATTCACAGAGGAATTACTCACTGTCAGCACAATGGGGAAGGATCTTGATCAGTGAGTTATTGGAGAAAATAGGCCGTGTCTCATGCTCCTGAGGGTTTAATGTCATCTCAGGTTATCGGCCTGCAGAGCTCTGATTATGTAAAGGATTCCTGCACTTGTGTTGTGTTGAAATCCTCCAGTGATGCAGAAGGACACTCAGGATCAGGTCTGCGGCCTGTGGGAGGATCTTTATGACCCGCTTATAATGGTTGCAGAGGGGCTGTTGACTCCGTCATGTAATTACAGGCTGTGATTAATGAAAAGCACAGAAATGCTCCGAGGTCGTCTGGGTGTGTGGCGCGGGTCATTAATGTAAGTAATTTATGCTGAATCAGTGGAGGAAACCTCTAGAGATGGCTGTCATCAGCTCTGTACATCTCACCCGGTCAGGCCTGTTATCGCCATTAAACTAAAAGTGTTTATATGTAATTGCTGATCACTGTTTTTACTGACAGATTCTTACACATTTTACATTTTTCCCTTCAAAGTTTTGAATATTTAAATGTAATATCTTTTGCATAGTCAGTAAACGTGTTTTTACACTGCTT